ATCACACAGTACTACATTCTCCATCCTGGTTCCTTACTGGATGGAGTCATTGCCTGTAGTGATGAGAGAATGGTCCCGGGCTCTGACGACAGCTCAGAGTCCTTTGTCCTAGAGTCTTGAGGGCCGCCCCTCTTGAGCCTGACCCTCTCCCTTATTTCCTCTCTTCTTTGTCACTCTTCTCCCCTCCACCCTCGTAGAAGATATTGCTTCCTTTTGTGTCTGGAATCTGGTAGGACTCTTAGTTATTCTCTAATCCTTCCAGTTCCACCTGAACAGAGAGGAGAGCTCTGACCTGGTCGCTGAAGAGCAGAGGCTGAGATGATTTGTACAGTGGCCCTGCCACAGGGTGACTGTCTAAAAGGCCATATGCAGAGAGCAGACTTTCACTAGCATTTGGCTTGTAAGTGCTGGGCTGAGAGTTTGTTTCCCTTCCCTTGTTGAGCAGTGTCTTAGAGCACCTCCTGTCACTTGTTCTCCATCCTAGTGGGGAGGGGTTGAGCTTTGGTCACTGTGGTTGTTCCTACCTATGTGGGAGTCTCCACTTTTAGAGGCAGAGTAGACAGACAGGAAGAAGCTAAAGGACCGAGGAGTCATATTTGAGCAAAACAATTCATAGGACCAGTGGCTCAGTGAAGATGGCAGGCCCCGTGATGGGCTATTAAAAAACGTCACAAAGAAATGTTTTCTCTGCAATGCAGGTACAAAGCTTAAAGTGTAGCAAAAGCAACAACACTTTAGGAATTATTCCGTGAGAACTGTTCTTCTGGTATTTGAATCAGTTGGTGTCCCTAAAACTCTTTTCCCATACGTGAGCCACACCAAAGGCAATCCAAGAAAGCCCTCTATGCTACCATATCTGCAAAGTGTGATAGAGAAGTACAGTGAATATTTAAATTTGAAAAATGTGTTTTAGTAAAAGCCACATTGCTGTGAATCCCCCTTAATATCCTTCCCCTCTCTTTGAATACGCTTATCTGATCACTCTTGCCACTTTCTGAAGCAGTCTGGGAGTCCTCCTTCATGAGCATCTTTGGTTGCGCTGTTGTGTTTGTCTTGATGTACTGAATCAATTCAAAATGTTTACCTTTATGGTAATTCTGATTTTGAAGAAGAGCCAGAAATCACAAGGTGCCAGACCCCGAGGATAAAGTGGATGAGGACACACCGCAGTGTTTTTACAAGCCTGCCTTTCTGCTGGATGGCACTTGGCAGCAGCATTCATGATATTGTTGATCATACCTCATAATGACACTCATGAAAGAGGACTTCCAGAACTGCTTCAGAAAGAAGCAAGAATCATGGGAGAAGTGTGTTGGAGGTGAGAGAGAGAGAGAGTTTTGAGAGGGGTTAATGGCAATGTGTCCTTTGCTATAATAACTTTTTCAAAAATTATACCCATATTTCGTCTCCTTATCACCCCTGTATCCTCATGGTTGTCCTGGGGAACTTGAAGTCTCCATCCCTGAATCACCCGTTCCTCAGGTCTTGTTCTTTGTTTCCACTCACTTCTTTGGACTTAATGTTGCAGAGTCGCTATCATCACTACCTCATTCCTGCATGAGCCATGGGCTTAGATCCAAGCTCCTCCTTTTCCTGATTCCTGAAACCTAAAACTACCCTTGGTCTGCACCCCTCTCACTCCCATACCGAACTCAAACTCCCAGTAGCAATCTGAAGCAAATCTTCCCCTCAGAGCCCCCTTTTTTTGTACCGGGGATCAAACTCAGGACCTTGTGCTTGCGAGGTAGGCAGTGGCACCACTGAGCTAACTCCCCAGCCCTCAGAGCCTCATTTTTTCCAAAACTCCACTTGTTTGAGAATCATGGCTTGGCAGCCAAAATACTTACATAGGTACAATAGGAAATCTAGAAAAATGTAGTATAGGCGTTCCTGGAATTTGAAGATGTCTTTGAGCTATTAAAACTATAACACCTTACCATATACTCTTTTTTTCTTTATTCAGGGAATCAAACTCAGGACCTTGCACTTCCCAGGCAGATGCAGCACCACTGAGCTAAATCCATGGCCTTTGCATCTCTCGCTCGCTGTCTCTCTCTCCCTCTCCCTCTCTCCATATCCATATCTCTATTCTTTAGAATACTTGCCCAAGTACTCTTTAGTAATTTTCACATGAAACGGGATTTTTTTTTTCAGCAAAAATCGGTAGGAAATGCTATTTTGAAGTAAGGCACTAGGTGGAGCATGTGAATTTGAAGAAAATTTAAGATTGGAATTTCTACCGGTAGTGACAATCATTTAAAGCAAGGAAATTGAAAAAGATTAAGCCAAATTTACTCTAATTTTAGCTATAGAGAAATATAAAACAGCATAACAGTTTTTACAAGTATATCTAAAGTCTAAGATAATGTTTTTAAAAAGAGGCAGAAATTGGAATCAGTAATATTCTCTTCAATAAGCCCCATAGCCAAACCCCATAGCCAAAGGAAAGTAAGTCAGACAGCAGTTTCAGAGAAATACTAGTTGGGGGCTGCAGAAAGGGATATATCCATGTATAGATGTTTTCTGGTTGGGAAAGTGGAATGATCCTTATCAGAGTGGAAAAATCTTGTATATACGTAAGCTTCTAGATAATGAACTTCAATTGTATAGTAAATAATACACAATTTAATTGACCATAAGCAGGGGAAGAGCTCACACACTGCTAATAGCAGTAGATAAAATCTTTTAAAAGCAGGTAGGTGGGTTTTGCTTGTCTGTTTATAAAATATCACTCAGGGATCGAACTCAGGACCTTGTGTTTGCCAGGCAGGTGCAGCGCCACTGAGCTACATCCCCGTCCTGGAGGCTGTATTTGTGCTACGGGCAGTTAGATTGCTGCAGCACACGAACAGTCTGGGTTACATAGTGAGTTCAAGGCCAGTCTGAACCACATAGTGAGACCCTGTCTCAAAATCACAAATAAAGTTGGTCCGAAGGTTGTGAGTTATTGTTAAACTGATTAACAAAAAATAAAAAAAATAAAAAAACCACAAGTAAGTAAACAAAAAAGCCCCCCAAACAATAACAAAAATATTTTTAAAAGATAAAAATACCAAGATTATAAATTTTATTTTATTAAATAAAATTAACCTGCACTCTATATGGGCCCTTTATATGAATTAGCAGCAAAACTAGTCCCCATACAGAAAATCATTAATAACGTGTTTTCAGTCTGCCTTCTTCAAATCCATCAATAGAAAAGGGGAAGGAAAATTTAACTTAATAGACTTGGAAGAGAAAAAAGCCAATGCCAGACTCTTTTCGTTGTGTTATAAGCTCAAGACTCAGTATGCAGAACTGCTGAAACTGCGTCTTTCTTTCTGCCTGCTTCTGTGAACTACATGTATCAAGCGGGTAGGTGTACATCAAGACTCCATGCCTTCTACATGGCACTCACTGAAAAGGGTGGAGACAGAACCAGCCTCTGGGCCTGGCTAGCTAGCATTGCATCAGTGGGTGACATCCTGTTAAGCTGTGATGGAGGTGGGCACACAAGGTGACAGAAGGAACTCAGCTGCAATGCTGACTCTACAGTAGAGGAGAGGATGTCTTACATATAATTTTGTTTAATGAATGGTATCTGGAGTAACGTGTGGAGTTAATGCAAATTCTTGATTACAAATGTTGACAAAGATGTACTCACAGGACTTGGTGCATTTTTCCAGCCCTTCTGCATTTGTATATTTATATATGGTATCAGTCACCTCTGAGATAGATAGGCCAGTCATGAATGAGTCTATGTATAGATTAGAACATTAAGATACTGGCTGTAGGAGGATTTGCTCAGTGTCCCACACCACAGTACTCGTGAGTCTGAGACTAGAACCTAGATCAGTGCTTTTCCCCAGTACTACAATGAGTAGTGACCAATTTATGAAGGGTATAAAAGCAAGGCCTACTTTGAGCTTGAATTAATATTGTGCCCTAAACAGCTAGCTTTTGGTCTACTGTAGCAAACAGATTATTGTTACTACCAACCGAATTTTTAATTTGGTGAGCAGTACCCCACCTCCAAGAAAAATCCTGCATTTATACGCAAGAGGATGTATATAAAGATACTGAATGCTATATTTTTTCTAGTAGTTAAAAAAAATCCTAAAATCAGCTTAAATCTTGACCAACATAAGAATGGGCAAATAGGTTGGCGTACATTTATATAATGAGATAATATCCAGTGTTAAGGTGACTGATAGCCTGAAAAGTCATAATGCTAAATGAAAAAAGTAGGCAGAATGAAACCTAGAGTATCATATAATTCTTTAAATTAAATTTACAGAAGCTATATCTTGTTCAGGCGTATGTACATATATTTGGCCAGCATTTAAAAATAGATGGGAGGGACACCTACCAGATAGGGGTGATCTCATGAGAGGAGTGGGATGGGACAGAAGTCACAAAGGGAATTCAAATAAACAAATAAGGTAAAATGTAAACAATGACCAATTTTTGATATTTATTATTTCAGAAGCTTAATGTAGTTTAAAAATATCTCAAAAAGTTGGGAGTGGTGCTGACAGACTGGGCAAGGGAACCTCAAGGGAAGGAAGGCACATCTACCGTAGTAAAAATTCTATGCCTGTAATAAAAACAGGATGCAGAATGGCATCGGTGAAATTCCTGCCTATTAAGGACTGGAAATTTTTATGACTTGGTCTCTTTTATATGAAATATTGCACACAGGGACACAATAATCTTGCATACATGAAGCAGAGAAAATGTAGGGTATATTTACTTCTGGAAGGGCTGTGGCTGGAATGGAAGAAAAGCAAATATACGTGATAGGTGGGCCTAATTGGTAATGCTCCCCACTACAGCAGAAGAGAGCCTCGAGTTATGGAGTCGGCTTCTCTGATGGCTCCACAAGGAAGGGCTTGGGCACCTGGCCTGGTCTTGCTGTGAGGTCTCTGAGGTCTCTGAATGCATCAGGTGACAAGACTATGAATGAGTCGTCACGCAGCATTTACTGTCTGAATGCTAATACTCTCTTGATACATTTCTAGGCACGAAAGGATGCACACCAGAAGACCCTGTCATGTGGAAGATGCTGAAAAATACTGCCTTGAGGATGATTTAGTTAACCTAGAGGTCCTGGATGAGGTGCTGAATATTTAGTAGTTCTAACTGATGACTTTTGTTTCACATAGATGGTCTGATCTTTCTGTTGTAGGCCATATTCTTTTAAGGTCGTTTGAAAAATTTAATTGTATAGACATGGGAAATTCTGGGTGCGCTTGGTTACTGAGACTGTGATCCTGTATTATGTTCACTTATAGTCCCTGGAATGAAGAGAAAGGATTTGGATTTTTCTAAGGAAGCTTTTTCTATCATAGGCTTTTATGATGGATTCTATCTGCTGAAATTAATGTCTTTAATAAAAATTTCAGTGAACTATTAAGATAGTTGCTTGTTCTTCATAAGGAGAGGCTACACTTAGCGAAGTAATGAAGTTATATACTTGCATTCTAAATCTGAAAACTGTAATATCCCTGTTTAACATATGCTCGGCTAATGGAGCCTTTAATTGCACTGGACCTGCTCTTACTGAGTCTAACTCCGGGGACTCCTAACTTTAGCATTTCCATCACTAACATGTAATATCAGAATGTTGCAGTTCAGATTCCTACCTCATGCATTTTAAGTGCAGCGCTTTGAGAAATGAAATTGCTATTTTTTCCATGTGTTATATTAAGAATGGCCTCTTAAATCAAATTCTAAATATAACATTTTTTCCCCACTAACAAGTAAAACCTTTGTTGAATATCTCAGTGTCCCTAACCAAGTCCTAATTCTTCCAGCATATTTCTATTCCTAATTCTTTCAAGGCAAATATATGAATCATTTCAGTGATTTCAGAACATTAGGATCACTGTATGATTTAAGTGGACACTTTAATCTCTTAGAGAAAAATGTTCTTGTAAAAATAAATTTGTTTGTAGAAACTGCCTTAATTGAGTATAATGTTTACTCTCTACCATTTTCCTCTCCTTAGGATATAATTATTCATCAGTTGCAGAAACGTTATGCAGACTTGCTGATTTACACGTATGTTGGAGACATCCTAATAGCCTTAAACCCCTTCCAGAATCTGAGCATATATTCCCCACAGGTAAGGGAGACTTTAGGAGCACACTGCTCCTCAATGGAAATTATAATACCACAAGGGCAGGACTGGGGGTGCAGCTCAGTGGCAGAACGCTTGCCTAGCATCCACAAAGCCCTGGATTCCATCTGCAGCACTAGAAAAAGAATCACACGGGCAAATGAAGATGTGTTAATAAAACCACATCACCCAAAGGTGTATACCCCAAGCTACAGATAATGCAAAACAAATGGAGTTTTTTTTTTTTTTTAACGTTGGGAGAGTAATTTTTTTAAAGCAAGGTGCAATAATAATAGCTAAAATTGCTGAGTGCTTGCTGTATGCCATGCTGTGGACTATGTCACTTCTCACAACTCTGTGAGACAGGGACCGTTATTAAGCCGATATGGCAGACAAGGGCCTTAACATAGAGAAGTGAACACCCCTGCCAATACATGCAGAAATGAAATTTGAACCCCAGCCGGCAGATTCCAGACAGCCTTACTGAGGCCACAGGTCCTCTGACAAGTGATCAACCTTCGTTTCCGGGGCAGTAGACAGAGAGAGCTTCAGGGGATCTTGTGGAGAATTGGGCTCTTCTTTTAAGTTAGTTATTTTCCCTTCAGTTTTCCAGGCTGTATCACGGGGTGAGACGGGCCTCAAATCCCCCGCACATATTTGCTTCAGCAGATGCTGCTTACCAGTGCTTGGTTACTTTCAGCAAAGACCAGGTAGGAACTCATCTTCCTTGCTTACCAAGTCTCCTGTAATACATCTTTCATCTTCCTCTTCGACTTCTAAGGCTGCTTGAAACCTTTCTGTCCCGGGTGCCCAAGGAAATGAGAAATGAAATTGCAGCTCTGAGCACCCAAAACACTGATAAAGCCATAGTAGCAGGAGTGGAAGAAATCCCTTTTCAAGGAACTTCAGAAGCACTCACTTGCTCTCATAAAATGTAATAAGATATTTCTAATATGAGTATAATGAGAACATAGAACAAATGCAACCTAATTACACAGCAATACTGTAATAAAATCTGGATGCGGAATGATAGCAATGAAATTCCTTCCCATTAATGAATGTCTCAGAGCTTTCGTGACTTGGTCTTTATATGTGACGTTTTACACTCGTGTTAGTAGTGATCTTGCGCCACACCAGGTAGCTGCTGAGAAATGATGGGTTAGGTTAAGAGTGAATGAACTTCAAACTTAATGTTAGTGAAACACAAACTTTACGTACACATTTTAACTTGCTAGACTTCCAGTTCATGGTGGTGGCATCCTGTCTTTGATATCAATAGGTTTATTTTCTTTGTTTCTTTATTCTATTTGCAACACAGGCGATCTAATTTGGTGAGTAAATTTGAGGAGAGAATCACCCTGTGTATATTCCCTGAGACCTGTGAAATCCAAAGCTTTGAGTGAGGTATAAATAAAATTATAACAATGCAAGTTGCAAAGTAGAGTACCTGGATTCATTGTAGGTTAGAAATTTGGCTTCTCCAGGTTTTTACTTATCTCAGGGACTTGTGAAACACTGATAAATTTCACAGAAAGGAAGTAAATGGAGAAAGAAAATGTGGTTTTCAAGTTGAGAAATTGCCCCACTGTGTTGTCCTTTTTCTGGACACCAAAAGTTGTGTATTTTCTGACACTAACCAATTCTCCGAGTCCCTGACAACAATTGGCCTCCTATAGTTCAGTTTACTTCTGACACTAACTACATGGAGCCAGCACAGACCCCACAATTTAAGGGCTCAGTCCCACAAGACGACTATACCCACCTCAGATGCCAGTTGCACGTGGAGTAGCCAGGCTTCCCACACTTTTGCCAAGCCAACTACTAATTCAGGGGTTTCCATGACCCCGCTTAGCCTTGCTGATTCACTAAAGCAACTCACAGAACTCAGGGAAACAATGAACGTATGTTTACTGGTTTATTGTAAATGGTACAACCAGAACTGGCCACATGGGAGAGATGCACAGGGTAAGGTGTGTGGGGCGAGGATGGTGCCCACAATTTCCATGCCTCCTCCGGGCATGCTCCCTCCCAGTACCTCGATGTGTTCATCACCTTGGCTGCTCACTGAATGTCATTGTTCACGAGTTTTTATAACTTAATCTCCAACTTCTTTCCCCTCCCTGAGCTTGGAGGTGGGGCTGAGGTTCTTACCTTCTCATCACCTGTTTGGTCTTTCCGGGACCAGTTCCCATCTCAAAGCAGTTCTAGGGCTCCCGCCTTCAACTACCTCATTAACCATGAACCGAGCTGTGGTTGAAAGGAGTTCCTTGTGAATAATGAAAAATGCTCCCAACTCAGGACTTTGCGAGGATTTTAGGAACTTTTTGTCAGACACTAGGCACAAAGACCGAATTTGTAATTTTTTACTATATCTGATCAAATAATTTCCTTAATGTATAAAGAGCTCCTAGAAATTAATGATAAACATGTCAACTATACAATGAAGAATAGATAAAGGATATGGATTAGTCACAAAAAAGAAAATATGAATAACTTTAAGCATGTGGAAAGGTATTTACCCTCGCGCATAATTAGAAAAAATGCAGATTAAAACTGCACTGAGATGCCATTTTTTACCTATCAGATGGCAAAAATCCAACATATGCTGTTGGTGAGACATAAGAGATTGCATATTAGTAGAGTTCTTAGCAAAGCAATTTGGTAGTACTTGTTAAATTTACAAATATCTTTACCTTTTTAATCTACCATCCCACTTCTTGGAATTTATTCTGAAATGAACCTGCGTATAAATATAATCATCTATATATAATGTACCTGCATATAAAAGTAATCACCTATGTATAGCATTGTTCATTGCAGTATTATTTGACAAAGAAAAAATTCAAGTATCCATCAGGAAATAGGTTATTGTACAACTGAACATTGTAGCAGTAACAGCCGTACCAGGGAATGAAGAAGTTTTCTGTGTACTGAAATGGAAAGAGTCCTAGGACAGATTTCAGTGAAAAAGTGAAAAGTGTCCAGTGGAGGCTGTGAAAGCCCTAGCTGAACACCCAGTGATGTCTGGAACTCTTCCCTGACGCTCTGTTTTCTGTAACAGTGCATTGTTATCAGCGGGGAAAGCGGCTCAGGGAAGACGGAAAGTGCCCACCTGATTGTTCAGCATCTGACTTTCTTGGGAAAGGTATCGACCTACCTCTTTTGTGTATCCTGCCTAGAAGTTCCTGCAGAGCTTCTGTGTGTTTTACAAATGATGGAAGTACCGTTTTTTTACTAGGAGTTATATAAAAATATTTTATCTTTGTTACATTCTCCTCCGGATAACTAGACCTCTTAAGATGTCAGCATGCTGTCCTCACTTCGCATAGTAAGGAAAAGAATGCCAGCACGAATTTACTAGATTGTTGCCAATTAATTTTTCACGTTTCAATGTAATAGAAACATTTGGCCATTAAGCAGTGAAAGTGGTTAAACACTATGAATAGGATCAGGCAGAGCTGCTATGGAGGTTGAGGGGATGGAAAAATGAACATTAGCATTTTAGCAAAATGGACATTGAAGAAATGAGTGCAAAATCAATCTTGTAGTTCACATCTACTCAGAATTAGTGTACTACATGATCAAGAAAGAATTTAAGGGATACATTTTATCGATGAGGTTTGTGGGAGATGGTAATGGATGACAGAAAGTTATGAGATCTCTCCACTTAAAATTCTTTCTAAACTGTTTAGCATTTTACCTGTCAAGGAGCTCAAATGAAGTGCAGCGAGATTTAAAAACTGCTGCCCTGATCTAGCTGAATCTGATTCATACACACCTGGTGAGTCGCTCATTTGAGAAAAATGATGCTGGCAGGTGATGCTAATTTCCCCAAATGGAGAAGGAAAAGGACATGGTGAACGTTGGTGGCAAGGTGGGGAGTGCCTGGCACTTTTGCTGGGTCACCTTTCATAGGCATCTCTTGTCTGCTCTGTTTGGCACAGGCCAACAATCAGACCTTGCGAGAGAAAATTCTACAAGTCAACCCCCTGGTGGAGGCCTTTGGAAATGCATGTACTGCGATCAATGACAACTCAAGCCGTTTTGGAAAATACCTGGAAATGATGTTTACACCAACCGGAGCCGTGATGGGGGCAAGAATCTCTGAATATCTCCTTGAAAAATCCAGAGTCATTAAACAGGCTGTGTGAGTGTACTGCTTTATCACTCTGCTTTTGCTCTGCATTATAAACTTGGAGGCTTTGGGAATTTCCGTGGTTCCGTTTGCATCCTTGTTCTTTAGCACCCCCATCTCCAGGCTCCGCAAGAGCAAGGAATTATTTAAAGCAAAGGGTCAGTGGTGTGCTTGTATCTAAAAGATGTTACAGCGCAGAGTACCAAGTGCTGGGGATGGGAGTGCTTCTGGAATAGACATGCTTGTTTCATCTCGGTTCATCAGGTAAAATTTAACAGTCTTACAGACATTTAAAAAAAATCATTGAATGTCTTAGAATTGAACTTCTCTATAAAAAATCCCAAGAATGTTCAACATGTTAATTTTTCCTAAATGAAGAGAAAAAACAAAAGTAAGGCCAGGAATTTAGCCTGCCTCACAAGTGCAAGGCTCTGAGTTAGATCCCTGTACCAAAGAGAGAGAGAGAGAGAGAGAGAGAGAGAGAAACAAAAGTATTCTGTTTTCAGAAGAGCAGTATATTGATAGATAAAGCATGGACTTTATGGGCGTTTACATACTGGCTGTGACACTGTGTGACCTCAGGCACAAACTCTGTGCCTCGTGTATGGAATAGAGATGCACCCAGTGCTGACTTCGTGGGTGTGTCATAAGGATCAGTGAGTTCATTTATATAAACTCACTTGCTTATAAGAATGCCTGCCAGAGTGCACTTTGTCCTATTCCTGTGTTACTGCAGGACACCAGAGTTCCTTGGGAGCATGGCTCCGTACGTACATAGTCATGCGTCATTATTCAGTACCTGCCTTATGCTGGGGTTGCAAGAGGAAACAAGATAGACAAGGTTTCTGGATTCATGGAGCTCGGGGTGTGCTGCCTGATAAGAGACTTGAGGATTCACGCATTAAAGAAAGAAATGAAACGTAGGGAAAATGTAGTAAGTGCCAGGAAGCAATGTAAGGTGCGAGGAAGGTGAAACAGAAGAGAAGGGCCACGACCTAGTGCGGGAGGAAAGAGGAGCTTCCTGGGTAGGAGATGTCTCATCTGAGATCCAAGATCACTAAGTCAGCCAACAAGGTGGGCCAGAAGTGAGGAGTGGGGAGGGAGGGAGACGGGGAGCGAATATGCTGGCCTGGATAAGCTGGTGGAGCAGAGAGGGAGAGAGGCGGACCAGTCCGGGGCTACTTGGCATGCACGCTCTACAGGCCCGGGTCTGGCTTGGGAACCCAAGTGCCGGAGTGTAGCTCAGTGGTAGAGAACTTCTCTAGCATGTTCAAGGACCCGGCTTGCATTCCCAGCACTGCCGGACAAAAACAAAGCCCAAGCATCTTCCGCTTGCGTTACTCACATGGTGGAAACTGGCAGGAACAGTTCACGAATGAGTGAACCCCCCAGAAAGAGGTGTTTTATGCTTTGCTGCCATTTCTCACACATTTGTTCACTCAACTAAAATTTTATTATTTTTATTGTATTTTTTAAAATAAATTTTACCGTATACATTGGAGGGATACCTACCGTATGATGTTATGGTGTACAGCCATAGACAGGAAAAAAAAGTTGCTGTTCAGTCATCATAAGCTGACACTATCACACAGACCAGGCACTTATCTGAAAGTGCCTATCTGAAAGGACACTGGCCAGGATGGCCTTAAAGAGGTAGAAGCAGGAGACCAAGGAGACTGAGGGGTGACTCTTTGGTACCTGAAAGCATACTGGTGTGGGAAAGTGCAGACCTCAGTTATGGACCAGTTACTCCCTAGCCTGCTATACAGCCTGCAAGTCACTTCCTGCGTGGGGCTCCAGGACATTAGGTGACTTGGCTGATGCCTTCGTGGTCTCTAAAGCAGCAGGAGCTGTAAACAGAGGCATTGGCACAGGTGCTGGATGTGGTGGCTGGAATGGAGGGATCTCCAGTATGTATAACCTGCACTGTTACCTGTTCCATTCTGTAAAACCTCCTTCTGCTCACAGGAAAGATAAGTGTGTTTAACAAGGTAAATTGTAACAATTATTAGATGAACTTTATCCCTGTTACTATTCTGTAATGGGGATGAAGCGTATTTAATTGCTTGAAAGTGCACGTTTTCTATGAAATAATATTTTTGCACAGAAAGGGAATGATAGAAATTACTTCAAAGTGGGACAGCCCAGAAGATAGTATTAATAAAGTCTCTTCCTTTTTGTCCTCAGGGGAGAGAAAAATTTTCACATATTTTACTATATTTATGCTGGTCTTTATCACCAACAGAAACTTTCTGAATTCAGGCTTCCTGAGGAAAAGCCTCCTAGGTAAGTGTCAGGAGTTGTACTTGTTAATTTTGCATGAATGTGCAATTACCAGTTGACAAAATGAGAAGAAAATGGAGCTGGTTTCCTAACTGGAAACTCATAGTCTATTTAGTTTAAATATGGAGGATGAGATGGCAGGAACCACATCTCACCATTTTCATTTTCTAGAATGTCTAAAAACTCGACTGCACCCATTTTATTCAGCCACGTGCACTATTGTCCCCCCATCCATCCAGTGTCAGACTATAGAAGAGGAGCCCCCCTGGAATTTGAGGTGCTATTTCCAAGTCAATGGTCATTGTGTTTGGTGACAGGTACATAGCTGATGGCACTGGGAGAGTCATGCATGACATAACTTCCAAGGAGTCTTACAAAAGACAATTCGAAGAAATTCAGCATTGCTTCAGGATTATTGGGTTCACTGAGAAGGTAAGTGATTGTGAAGAGGGAAAGAGTTTCATATATTAATATTCTTAAACGAATGTGAGTGAAGATGTGGACATTCTAACTTGGGGCAGTTTGGTGATACCAGAGATTGAACCCAGGACCTTCACAGTGAACTACACCTCCAGCGCTTTTTTATTTTTTATTTTGAGACAGATTGAGACTCAAATTTGCCATTCTCCTGACTCAGCCTTCCAGAGGCTGGTGGATATGTACTTTTCAAATGCCTTATTGGTTCTGTAATAAAATTTTGCTATTCAAAATGTGGTCCAAAGACCAGAAACTTTGTCATTTCCTCAAAGCTTGTTCAAAATGCAGAGTCTCTTGTCCATCCAAGAATGACTGAAAGCAGATTGCGCATTGTAGCATGGTGCCCAGTGGACACAGAGTAACAGCGCTGCTGTAAGGATCGTGAACTGACATTATTATCATTTCACCGTGACTGTAATTACAAACACCCAAACAATACTGTCCTCCGAGCTGGGTTTCAACCTGTAAAGTGAACTGTGTATCGGAGTCCAGGAATCTGTAGGTTATGTCCAAGCCATAGGCATATATTTATTCTAGTAGCTCTTTGTGCATCAAGATGAATTAATTGAATCCTTCAACTTTTATTCAGTCACTTCCTTCTTCATGGCACACAATTGCACATTATTAACTATCGCTCTAAATATTATACTACCTCCATCGTACTAGATACAGGCTATTAAATATATGCTTGCGGTGACAGACGATATTTATAACCCTAGGCTCACATATTATTCTGTGATACATTATGTCATAGTTTCTGGGCTTCGTGCCATCAGTTTTGCAAAACATAGTTTCTTTTGCTTTTCCAACAGGGGGTGAATGATTAGAAGGTAGGTAAGAGTGTTAAATCTTAAGGGATTAGATTAAAAACACTCCAGTTACCTTGGGACAGCCACTCTGTATAAAGAATTGCTTCTGTAATCCAAAGAGTTTGGCTAGCCTTTTGCTCCCCAGCACAGTTGATTTTAGTCATAATAATACCTTTCTTTTTTCTAGCCAGCTGTGACTTGTCCCTGTTGGCCTCCCACAGATTTTAAACTGACAGACAGTGGAAAATCCCAAAGGTCAGATAAAAATAGAAATATATTTCCCTTGGCTCCTTAGAGGAGAGCAATTAAACAGGTTCCAGCACTGTTAAAAAGACCTTTATGGTTATTAACTTACAGAGCTGTTTTTTATCAAATGTGTCACCAGGAGAGCCAAAGCATGGTAGGGGTAGCAATGGAGCCATTGAAAGTTACTTGGGTCATGCCAAAGAGTTCAGGGTGTGCTTCCTTAATAGGGCCGGACAGCAGTAGTGAAGTTAGCTCTCAGGGGTGATGGTATTTTGCTTTCAGTGAAAACAAAGATGCTTATAGAATACTGTGAAGAGACTGGACTGAGCTGTAGAAGAAAGCATACAGTAGTGCTATTCCAATCATAAAAATACACTGCTAGTGTTAATAAAACAGAGGCAGTGCATTTTAAGATAACAAAATAAAAAACAGAGGAAATTAAATATATTAAGCATATGTCTTTGAGCTAAGCTATCCTTAGCCCCGTGGGGAAAAAAGTACAGTATAAATGAATAAATAACTGTACAAATGAACATGAAAGGAAAGAAATGAAAAGGTTGGTGAAGTTTCTTCATTTTGTGCCTGGCCTGAACTGTTTAATGCCTAACTGGAGCTTGTGGTATGTCTGTGTGTGTATTTTCACTGTGTTCCACCTTAATTCATACTAGAAATAAACCAACTTACGTTAGTTAGCAACTTTGGAAATGGAACAAAAAGTCTGGATCTTGTCTTTCTGATCCAGTGTTTTGTACTTATTTCTCCTCAGACAACCTGTTTTGCTAAATTAACTCAGTTTACTTTGTGCTTATAAACACACAGGATGCCAGGATGTAGTTCAGTGGTATCATGCTTGCCCTGAAAGCACAAGGTCCTGAGTTTGATCCCTGGTATTGGAAAAAAAAAGAGAGAAGATAAACAAATAAATAAACTCACAGGAATGTGACTAAATTCAGAAAGATTTTCTTGAAGTCAGGCAGCAGATGCCAAATGGCTGTGTAACGAAACTTTCTCTTAAGCTTCCCCAACAGACATTTCTACACAGAGCTTAAATGAACTGGTCACTTCAATCAAAATTTACTCTTCCTGCCCTTTCTTAGAAGATCTTAGTTCCCTGCAGGCATCCTTTAAAAGTTTTTCTCAAACTTAAAGGATTTTTCTCAAATTTCCAGCAAAACTATGAGTAGCAAACTTTAATGTTGATTCAGGAGGATAATTTTAATTCCAAGACACCAGCCAAAAGTATCTAAAGCAACACTTAACTCTGAATCTGTTATACAAAAAATTTCCTGGTAACAGTGACTTCCATTAATGATAATGGTTCCTTGTGAGAGGCTCAAGGAATTTTACCAAAATCCTCTTTTGAAGATCAGAATTTTTCAGTTTCTATGTCTAGAGTCAAACCATACTGATTTTGTTTAATATTATACTTGTCTTGCAGATATAAAACTTGCATATCAAATAAATCAAGTTTTAAATGACTTACACACTATTTAATACTATATAAAAACTATTCAATGAAGTACTACTGTGCTATAAAGAAGGATAAAGCTGAGTCATTGGTAGGAAAGTGAATGCACCTTAAGACTAATGTTGAGTGAAGTACATCAGACACACACACTTAGATATCACATGATTTCTCTTAAATGAGAAATCCAGGGGCCGGGGATTTAGCTCGGGGGTTCGGCGGCCTGCCTTGCAAGTGCAAGGACCCCAGTTCAATCCCCGGTACCAAGAGATAGAGAAGGGGACGGGAGGGGAGGGAAGGGGTGAAAGGAAGCGGATGTGCTATTACATGCAGTCGGCATAGTGTACTGAAGAATGTAGCAATTGTGTGCTGAAAACATGTACTGATAAAAACAAAGATCTGAAAGAAAAAAGATGGAAAAACACCTTTTTGGTAAATGATCTATGTGATGGTCATATACTGTGGATCCATGGATGAGGATACCACTGACATTTTTAAGGTAGTAGGGCTTGAACTCAGCTCTACTACTGAGCTACATCCCCAGTGCTTTTTATTTTACTTTTTGAGATAGGGTCCTACCAAGTTGCCCAGGCTGGCTTCAAAGTTGGATCTTCTTACCTCAGCCTCCCATGTGGCTGATATTACAGGTGTGTGTCACTGTGCTCAGTACCATTGTTTTGGGGTTTTGTTTTGTTTTGTTTCTCGAGAAAGGGTCTCACTATGTAGTTGAGACTGTCCTGGAACTCACTATGTAGCCCAGGCTGGTCTCGAACTCACAGCGATCCTCCTGTCTCAGCCTCCCGAGTGCTGGGATTAAAGGCGTGTGCCACCGCGCCCGGCGGTACCATTGATTTTTAAGATGCCAGATGTTGTGAACCGCTGTGGAGGGGCAAGTGAGGTGCTGGAATAGGGCGTATGGTGAGAACACCTTCAGCTCGTCCTAATGCAGTGCTCAGGGCAGAATTAGAGACCCACATAAAGGAGAGAAGGTATAGTGAGCCTGGAAGAGGAGGTAAACTCCTAGAGAGTTGAAGGGAGAGAATGACATGAGATGTCTGCAGACCAGGCCGGGAAGAATTTCAGTAAATCAGCCCAGGATATTCTTAACTTTCAACTTGGCCTCAACACTACCTAGGAAATGCCTACACCAGGAAAGAAACTCTGAGAGAGGGAGAAGAATCACGCCGCGTGTCTTGGGTGGGCTGTAGTGGAGAAAGGCACCCCTGTCTTTGGCGGACTGGTGAGGAGACTGTGTTTGTACGCACTAGCGGTAGACTGTGTGACCAGACAATATGTCTTATTCGGAATGAGTTTGTTTCTTTCTTTCTTTTTTTTTTTTTTTTTTTTTTTTTTTTTTTTTTTTTAGTATTGCATTTTATATAGAAAGGTGGAAGTGGATAGGAAATGAAGAGACAGCAACATTGAACGATTTTATAGGAAGTGCAGCAACTTCAGATGAGTCCATAGTTAAAGATGCATGGTGAGAAAGTGCAAAAGGCTTCGCCAGGATATGGTGAGAAATGAAGAGAAATTTGATGAAGAGGTTTGGGGAAGAGAGGAGTCATCCTACAGATAGACATGCAACCAAATGACCTGTACCATTACTATAGGTGGTGTTTTGATCTGAACACAGTGGTGTGTGTTGCTTCGTGCGTCATAAAAAAAGAAGTGATTTATTCATGGTAGGGCTAAAGAATCATGTTCGGGAATAGCCTAGAAATGTAGCGTGGGGAGCACATGAAGGCTGATAACTCTTGATGAGGGGGTGTTGAATACTGTCTCTCTACACCCCTGCACAGAACCAAGGGGGGAGCCCCATGCTGCCTTTAGCTTCAGTGAGTCACGCCGTGTTTGAACATAAAAGTTTTTCCTCAAGGTCCTAGGTTTAGTTTTCCACTTTTGTGGGTGGCCTGAGCACTATATTGAAGAGGATGTTGCCCGAGAAGCGACAAGTGAGATGCTAGTCTCACAGGCATGGTCTTTAGCAATCACTGCTAGGCAGTTTCTGTTTCACCCTTTCTGTGGGATGTGCTTCTGTGAGCAGTGGCTTGATGCATTCAGCAAGCCTTGTGCCATATTGATCAAGGTAGTGAGGTACTGTCATGTTAAATCCAGGCAAGTCTCAGAAAACCCACTTGGTAAGTGTTCTTCCTAGCCACTTTTACACTGTGTGATTAAACAGTGATTCTTGAAGCCAGAAACATGACATCTTGCCTTTGATTTAGAAGCTGGAAGAACAGTATTTATCTGCAGTAGAAGCCCAGTTTAGAATCCTCGTTTGTCTTTGTAGTATTAGCAGGTGTCCAGTAGGTGTCACTGTTCCCGCCTGTGTTCCCTAGCTTTACTGAGTAATGTTTAAGGAAGGCTCAGTTTGGGGGCAATACTTTATCAGTGGTCTAATGACAGCTCCTCTTAGTTTGCTGTTGTGTGTAGTACTAAGTCACATAACCTGCCACAGTATTTTTTGTGTAAGTATTTTTCTCTATAAGCATAAAATGGGAAACTTCCTGGCTAGATATTTCATTGTTTCACATACAGAAAATATAACTTAATTTTTATCTACTGGAGGTCGAACCCAAGGGTTCATATATACTAAGCAAGTACTCTACCACTGAGCTACATCCCTAGTCCTTTTTATTTTATTTTTGAGGCAGGATCTTCCTAAATCGCCCAGGGGAGCCTTGAACTTGGGATCCTTCTGCCTGTGCCTCCCGAGTGCGGTTACACTTGTGCACCACCACACCCAGCTCAGAGCATGTATATTTTTAAAAACTAATAAATTTTGTGTTTAAAGCATTAATACTGCTTATATATTCAACTTTCAATTTAAAAATAAGACAGATAAGCTGAATTGCTTTTATTCACAATTCTTACACCAAATATGTGGATCCTCTCACCCCAACAACTAACTCTCCGGTACCAGCTTAACATCCTACAATGCAGTGCAATTCTCTCTACCTGGAGTTAGTGTGAGATCCCGCAGTAAGGGCGCAGTCCCACAAGCCTGACCCTCTCCAACACCAAGCGCAAGTCTCAGGCCTCCTGTACTTCTTACCAATGCCTTCTAAGTTGGGGATTACCATGGCCCTCTTGCCCGATTTGATAATTTGTATAATGACTCACAGAATCCAGGAAGGCAGGTTACTTACAGTTACACATTTATTATAAAGGATAAAACTAAGGAATAGCCACAAGGAAAAACAACATAGGGTAGCATACACAGTAAGGGGCTCTGAGCCTACATCTCTCTGGGCACAGCACCCTCCCCACACCTCCAGTGGCTGCCAACCTGGGAAACCCCTGTATCCCATTGGTTAGTGATTGTTATGGAGGCTCCCCTACAGATGCATGATGATGGGTTACTGGCTTTTGGTGACTAATTCAACCTCTCTCCCCTCTCCCCTGCCAGAATTCAGTAGGCGGGTATGAAAGTTTCAGCTCTATAGTTACATGATTGGTTTCTCAATCAAGAATCGCCTCCACCCCTACTCTTTGTATCTAGAGCCTTGGTTTGAGCCACTTACCATAAACTCAGGTGTGGTTGAAAGACACTTGTTACCAGCAACAAGACTCTTATCACCCAAACAATTACAAGGATTTTAGAAGCACTTTTGTCGGGAACTGGGGACAACAGCCAAATATGTATTTCTTATTATATCATAGATAGATAATTCGTAGTAAACTTTTCAAAATTCGTAGTAAACTTCGTTCATAAACCAGACTCTACTGTGTAGATTTGAGATGTTCTAGCCATCCATCAGTGTATGCCCTCCCAAAAGCTATACTCAAAAAAGATGAAGGAATCAGGATGGCTGCACATGCCTGGAATCCCAGCACTCTGTGAAGTTGATGCAAAGGATACCAAGCTCGAGCCCAGCATGATAACTTAGCATGACCCTGTCTCAAAGTAAAAAATAAAAAGGGCTGGGGGATGTAGTTCAGGCCCTGGATTCAGTCCCCAGTATCACTGAGGGAGGGAGGAAGGGAAGAATGGAGGTAGAGGGGAGGGGAAAGGGAGAGAGACAGACAGACAGGGAGAGAGAGAGAGGGAACACCTCTTCTCTTGCTTTGAAAGAAAAATACCTGAATTTGGGAGCTGGTCTTAGATATGGTGAAAGACTAAAAAGTGGTATAATGAACAAAGACAGCAAGTTCCCTCTTTTTTAGTGTATGTGCTGCCAAAGCAAGCACAGTAAGTTCCCTCTTCTCTCCCTGTGTCCATCATCTGTCTGAAATGCCCTTGTCAGTGGTATGCTTGAGGCTGGGCTGCTGCAAATAAGGAGGCATGCTTGCTCCTGTATGGCCTGTGCTACAAGAAACCTACATTCTTTTTTTTTTTTTTTTTTTTCTTTCTCCATACCAGGGATCAAACTCGGGACCCTGTGCTTGTGAGGCAGATACGCCACCACTGTGCTAGCCCAAGAGTCCCACATTCTTCTGCTTGAACCATTGTTAAAATTTAGTTACATAGCACCCCTGAGTGCAAAGGAGGTTGGGAAACTTGTGTGTGTCCAGAAAATAGGAGCAAATAGACTTAGTGGACAACGAGCAGTTTACGCCACAGTGCAAGTCCCTGGTTGGTTTAATTGGCAGTGACCTTCATACACGGTTCTTGGTGTCCTTTTCAGGAAGTGCACTCAGTGTACAGAATTCTGGCTGGGATTTTGAGCATCGGGAATGTTGAGTTTGCAGCTATTTCCTCTCAACACCAAACCGATAAGAGTGAGGTGCCCAATGCAGAAGCTTTGGAAAATGGTAATTATTTGATGTTCGTGTATTGTGTTGCCAAAGTACCTGTGAAACATACTTATTGCTTTCACTTTGGTGGTTTTTGAGGAATTGGAAGGATATAACGCAGCTGTTGCCGATCCCTCTATTGGCTCTGGATGTTTCCATTAATATTTCTCCTAGAAGTCCCTGTGGCCTACCAGGGTTGCTTCCATAAGCTGTAAATGGAGTTTCTGCATGAAAGAATGCTGTGGCAGGAACTTGAGGCAGTGGTTCTCAACCTTGGCTGCTGTTGAGAATCCTTTGCACGTTTTTGAAAAAAAAATAAAATAAATACAGGCAGTTGAGTTCATTGATTCAGCATCAGCAGGAGAGGAAGTAGGCACCTGTTTATTCTTAAAGTTTCAACGATTATTATGGTGGCACAAAGAATGAGAATTCTAAGTTATAAAAGGGAAACTGATTAAAGTGGGGTAAAAACATTTCCGTGTAAAATTGCATCACTTAAAAAATATCATCATTGTCATTCTTTGTTCTGCAGTGAGCTGAAAATTGAATTTTTCTAAATGAGGTGACAATTAAATTTTGTATCTTATAACCAGGAATCCCCCCTCTCAAGAAGAACCAGGTTGGCAAAGCAGAAGGTATTCCCTCCCATTAATGATCTGAATCAAAATTACTCAGTTATACTCATTGCCTAGGTCCTCTCCTGAATAAGAACAGGACTCTGTATGAGCCCAGCTCTCTGGCTAGCTCTTGCCTAACCTGAATCACATTAATTTTCTACCAAGAATGGAATCAAACTGCTGCCCTTTTTAGGACCTTTAAGATATGAACACACTGTACTTCATGACTAAGAGAAAAATCTTGTCTGGAGCTATTGCTCCAATTTATCTGATAGAAGGCAACCCCTCCATCCCTCTGTTTCATCAAACACCTATGAAGAGCCTTCACATCAGTTTGGGAGCTTTTTGGGGTTAGGGCCCTTGCTTGTTTTTCTTGACTTGAAGTGCCTAGGACAGAACCTGGCACATAGTAGATGTCACATAAATGTTGACTGAAAACGGAATGGAGGGATGGCCACATTCCATAGTGTCACCCTTATTTTTGGTTCCAGCTGCTTTTGTTCTCTGCATCAGCCCGGAGGAGCTGCAGGAGGCCCTCACCTCCCACTGTGTGGTCACCAGGGGTGAGACCATTGTCCGTGCCAACACTGTGGATAGAGCTGCTGACATCCGGGACGCCATGTCCAAAGCCCTGTACGGGAGGCTCTTCAGCTGGATTGTGAATCGCATCAACACACTCCTGCAGCCAGACAGAAACATATGGCAAGTTCCCCAGGGAAGCAGGGGTTTCAGGAGGGCTGTCTTCCACCCACTGTCTCCAAGGGCTTGCAGCGGGAAGCATTTGATCCTCCCTGGGGTTTTCTCTAGCACAGCTCTCAGGCTTTCTCCTTTAAAAGACTCATGAGGATCCAGGAGAGATGAAGTGTTTAATACCTGAGAGGGGGGTGATTGATGGAGCCATTCAAGCAGAGCAATTAAGAGGGGAGGCTCGGCCGGGCGCGCTGGACAAACCGGGTCGCCCCAAGCTCTACAGCTTAATCAGCTGCATGCTCGAGTCACACGTTCCCCATCTGTAAGATGACGATAAAATGGCCTCTTGGTGATCTTAGCATCAAATGAGACATTCTGTGAAAAGTTTTAAAGCGTAGTATCTTACATTATTAAATACTTTTCTCTCCTACGCATTAGTGGTTTCCTACATCAGGGAGGAAGTGACGTCACATTCTAAACAGTGCTGCCCCTGTTAAGCTTTGCGGTAGGCAGATGGGAGAATGTGGAAGTGACAGACCCTTCATCTACTCTATATGGGGGCCCCGAAGTAAGATTGTAAAGGATCCTACTGTTCGATATATGTATTATGACACCCAGGGTACAAATTCTGTAAGACACAACCGTCTCGCGTTGGAGGTGGTAGGGCGTGGCTTTCACACCTGAGTTGATGAACATTCTCGGGCACATCTGTTCTCATCATCTTGGGACAGATGATTCTTCCCCTAAAAATTTTTGCTCATCTCTCTCTTGCAGTAGTGCAGACCGTGGAATGAATGTGGGGATCTTGGATATTTTTGGGTTTGAGAATTTTCAGAGAAATTCCTTTGAGCAGCTCTGCATAAACATTGCCAACGAGCAAATCCAGTACTATTTCAATCAGCACGTGTTTGCTCTGGAACAGGTAGGAGTGAAATCTGGTTACTTAGCCAGATGGGGAAGGGTGTCTCTAAGCTGCCTACAATTTGAAGTAAAAACCCTTCAGTTAAACTAACAGGTAAAAGACTTGAGGAATTCGCCATAGTGGCACAGAGCCTCTTGACTCACAGGCTGAGGCAGGAGGATCACAAGTTTGATCCTACCTTGGGGAACTTAGTGACTTAGGGGATCCCTGTATCAAAATTTTAAAAATAAAAGAAATAAAAAGGGCTAGAGATATAGCTCGGTGCAAAAGCCCTGGGTTTAATCTTCAGTACCAAAAAAAAAAAAAAAAAAGAAAAGAGCAAGAGATAGACTATAGGAAAACCACTGGTGAGATGGTCTTGTCAAAAGTAAACAGCCAGTCTAATTTTACTCTGAAACAAAGACGTCTTAATTTCTGAGGAATGGTACATTTCTTCACTTGAGTGGAGCTAGTGACACACCAATTAAGTATTTCTTTAAGACGGTCTTTCATGTAGGCATATTGCTCAAAATACTTCATTCTCTTCTACTTTAATTCAACACATCTACAATGATGTCCAAAATGACACAGGATGACCCTGAATTCAGGATATGGGTTCTTAGCACCTGTGCGGGTCATGCCAATGTCATCCCTGTCCTTTGTACCAGACAGCCCAGGCACTGGTAGGATGTCTCAAGAGGGAGCAAGATATTATTTTGGATTTCTAGAAATGGAGGCCTTGCCCGTGTGGGTCTAGCGGTCAGTGCAGGAGGGTGAGAAGCCAGGGGACTAAAGGCTAGAGGCCTTTCTCCTGCAGCAGCAGAGCTCACACCACCCCAACCCTATGTAAACCCAAGTCTTTTGTGTGAAGGAGATGTAACAACTGACATTCCAACCAAGCCCTGTGGGTACCGGGATAGTTGTTTTAATATACAATAAAGACACACAAACTGGGCTGGGGATTTAGCTCAGTGGTGTTGCCGCCTGCCTCACAAGCACAAGGTCCCGAGTTCAATCCCCAATCCAAAAAAAAAGATACACAAACCGTATCTAGCGACTGTCAATTCTGGTTTTAGCACAGAGAAAATCTGGAGTGCAATCCTATCCCATCACCTTGCACAAAATTCTACCTTGGCCCAGGATTTAGCTCAGTGGTCTGCCCCCTGTCTCAAAAGTGCAAGGTCCTGAGTTCAATCCCCAGTTTAAAAAAAATTTTTTTTTTCTACCTTGTTTCTATCCAAGTTCCTTCCAGGTGCAGTTTTCTTTCCTTAAATGATTTCCTCAAGAATATAGACGTCTGCTTTCTTACCTGTGTAAGGTATACTTGCCACCCAAATAATATTTTTCACTTCTCTCTTTGCCTAAGTTTTTAAATTATGAGCTCCCAAGTGTAAGTTAAGGAGACTGCTTTTGCTCCCTTGAGCTGCCTATCGCAGGCCCCCAAGAAGTCTCACTTAAACAGCCAGCTGAAACAGCTTGATACACAGCTGATTCCTTTACTATGTACAGAAAACACAGCATTTTCTACATGCATTCAAGGTAGCCAGACCCAGGAAGCCCAGGCCAAAGTATCCTGGGGGCAAGGAGGTCAGCTTCAGGCTGGAGAGTCACACTCCGTCTCCCTCCAGATGGAGTATCAGAATGAGGGCATTGATGCCATCCCTGTGGAGTACGACGACAATCGTCCACTCCTGGACATGTTCCTCCAGAAACCCCTGGGCCTGCTTGCACTTTTGGATGAGGAAAGTCGGTTTCCCCGAGCAACAGACCAGACCCTGGTTGGTAGGTACCTTTTTGGATTAAAAAAAAAAAAAAAAAAAAAAAAAAAAAAAAAAAAAAAAAAAAAAAAAAAAAAAAAAAAAAAAAAAAAAAAAAAAAAAAAAAAAAAAAAAAAAAAAAAAAAAAAAAAAAAAAAAAAAAAAAAAAAAAAAAAAAAAAAAAAAAAAAAAAAAAAAAAAAAACGCACATAAATGGGAACAGAACTCGGTTCCTGTCATCAAACGAATGTGCTTTAATGCCTACCCTGTGTAGTTTGGCTGCCTGATGAGTTATAAAGTGTAGAAACTGTTTTCAATTGAATTGCAATGTTCTGGTAGAATTTGTGTCTTGAAGTCAACCTGTCATCATTCTTGAACCTTTCCACAGTTTTCGACTCCCCACCAAGCTCTAGTCCTAGTCAGTGCAGAAACCCTTTCCAGTCTCTGGCTTTCTGACTCATATTTCCCCTCTAGACTCCCAGCCAGTTTAGTCTTCCTAAGCCACCTTTTCCTCAGGTTACAGGTGTCTACAGGATGAAGAGAGGGCAACTCCTCCTGGCATCAAAGGGCCTCTCTTCTTTCCCCTGTTCTCTTGACTCCTCTTTCATCTGCAATCGGTAGTTTTGCACTAGCAAGCATTGCTCCCGACCTAGACTGGGAGAAGCCTTAGGTGACAGGGGCCCCGTCCTAGTGTCTCTAGTATTTATCAGGGACCTCAATGTTACTTACTAGCATGGATTCTTTGCCACATGAAAGATGAAAAATCAGACATGGACCAGTTTGTGAGCCGCTTCTCCATTGCTGAGGACTGTCAGCATTATCTCCCGTCTTTTTCAGGGGCTTCTAAAGGAGAAGCCTTCTTAGATCTTACCAATAGGCTGGGAATTCTTGCTCATTTCATATAGAAATCATAAATTGGCAGAGGACAGTTCTTTTGGTGTTAACAGCTCTATCTTAGTGACTTTCTCATCACTGAGACATGGTACCTGACATCCACAACGCTAAGGAGGAAAGGTTTGTTTCAGTTCATGATTTGTGGGGTTTCAGTCCATACCTGGCCAGCTCTAAGGCAGAGTGGCAGGAAGGAGAGATGATGGATCAAGGGAGGCAGGAGGGGGCTAGATCCTTCCAGGCCATACCCAGTGACCTACCTCCTCCCCAAATCACATCAGTCCACGGGTGAGAATCACACCCCATGATCCAGTCATCCCCTTAGATCCCTATCTGTGAGCACAGGAGGCACTGAAGGTACTTGTTAGGTATAAACCACAGCAAGCCCTGAGCTTTCCGCAGTGGCTATCAGCTCTTTGCTTCTTGGAGTAAGCAGCTACCACCAGGCCTCAGGAACTCTTCTTGCCCCTGGCACTGGTGGCTCCCAGCAATTCCCCGTTGCTCTCCACCGTCCTCTGCTGCTTGCCTTCCTCAGTGTTATAAGCCCCAGTTGCTGGCACCTTTTGACACCTGTAGCCTTTGATGTTACCAGCTCTGCTTGCTGGCGTCATCAACTTCAGCTGCTGGCTGCTTTCAGTGCCAGTAGCCGTTAGTGTTACCAGCTCTTGGTGTGCCAGTTCAACATGCTCTAACGCATGCTACAAATCACGAGTAGGCAAAACTATGCCATTGAAAAGTCTTTCCAGGACCTATACATCAGTGTGTGGACTGAAATCACTAAGGGTATGGGAGGCTGCTTACATAGGAAAAGAAGGTGGCCTTATGCGTGTGTACTATCAGACAGACGTTGGCTATGGGCAGTGGAGGGAACCCTTGACCTAATTGAGAAGGGCTGCAGAGGGGTAGAATCATCCAGAGAGGTGCAGGGCAGAGTCATCTGGGCTAGGTCTGTGCCTGCTGCTTGCTGCAGCCCAAGCACATATCTCTCGAAAGGGAGCCTGGTGTAGCCACGCTGGGTACTTTGGGGTAGCAATGGAAGAAAAGCAAAAAGTAACTCTTGGGGAGCATCAGGCCCTTCTCTCAGGTCAACTACAACAAAGAAAACATTGTGAGGAGGGACGGAAAGTTTCAACTTTACTCTTGGAAAATTGGTTAGTGGGAGAGATTCACTTCTAGGAGGGGAAATTGTCACCCCCAGTGGTTTTTCTTTAATCCATAATGTCACAGTTTGCTAAGGTTAAGCCTGTGTTGTCTGCTTCTCATGGCACATTCACATGGTTGAAAGCTACTTGACAGGGCCTGTGCTACCATTAGCATCCATGCTGGTGTTGTCAGAGGAAGCCAAACGTACCATCTTTGTGCACAGCTTGACACCGAACACAACTCTGAACAACTAAAGGAAGATCGGACACACACATTGTACAGGCAGTCTTTCTACACCTTTTACATAGTGTTAACTTCAGGGTGCTTTGAAAGCTTTTATTCTGGGTCTCTCGTGGCTCAAGGAGCATGTTCTTGTTTGAAGGAGCAGACAATCCATATTGTAACTTTCCGATATGAAAATCCATACAGATAAATTTGAAGATAATCTCCGATGCAAGTACTTCTGGAGGCCCAAAGGAGCGGAGCTGTGCTTTGGCATTCACCACTACGCTGGAAAGGTGAGGCGAGTGGCATTATGCAACCTGAGTCTTGCGGAGTGAGCGTCCGAATTGCCCTGCTGGTGCCACTCGTGAAACTGCTTGTAGATTTTGTTCTCCACTTAATTATTCTTGAATCCCCAGTCATAATTCTCAGACCATCTCAGTGCTGCTGCTCACTGAAACTTGCCCTGGCATAGAAGCAATATCTCGCCAGGGTGGCCCACAGAGCTGCCATCTGCTGCCCACCTGAAGGTTGGCCCCGAACTGACAGCTCTCCAGAGAGAAAACATATTATAGGCTTCACAGTGTTCTGCAGGGAATGTTGACATTCTGAAGTCATTTGGAGATGCCTGAGTAATGCAAGAGGGTTAACAGCACAGTAGGGACCAGTTTCTAGCACCTTAAGCGTACATCTCCATGCCACTAGCAAGGTCTAGATGAAGGGGAAAGAGTTTCACTGCGTCACCCAGATGTTAAGCTTTTACAACATTAACTGAAATTTCTACTTCTCATATGTTTCAGTGTCAATTTCAAGTTCTGAAGCAGATTAGTGATTCTCAGAATTCTCTAGTTCTGTAGCCAGAAATTCATTGCTCCTAAAACTCCCAGAGGAGCCAACTGAATTATGGCTAATTGGTTCCTGTGGAGTTTGTTGAGGCCCTGGATCCAGAAAATGGATAGGAGTTTAATACAAGGCTTTGAGGATTATTTTGTCAATACAAAGTGTATCAGAGTTATCTTTCATATTCATATCATGGCATTGAAACTAATTTTGCCTGACTAGATGTTGGCCAAAAGGTAATTCTCATATTATAAGGAGAGGGGATTCTGTTTCTCTCCACATAGTATTTTATGCTATATATTTTGGATCCTTGTTATAAATTGCAATCCAGGTTTTGCCCTTAACTACTTCATTTACTTTAACACTGATATATGACTATATCTTAATGTCCTCCAAGTCTGCGATACCAAGCCTTACCCAGACTCACCATCCTGTTCTCTCTGCTTCTTATTGACTTCTTCCTGTCACCACTCTTACACTTCCCTCCTTTTATACCCATTTTTCCTACCCACCTCTCTTCCTTCTTTCTTCTTCTCCCCTTTCTAGGGTCCTATATTGGCCACTTTCCTCATTCTTGAGACACAGTGCCTACCACCCACAATTTAAAGGATGAGAGGTTTATGTTGGCTCACAGTTTCAGAAGTTTCTGTCCATCATTGGAAGTCTCAAATGCAGAAACAGCGTGGTAGAAGGGCCAGCTGTGAAAGAAAGCTGGTTATGTCATGGCAGCCAGGAAGCAGAGAGAGAAGGAGTATGTACCAGGAGGGAGATACACCCTTTTAGGTCACATTCCCAGGACCTGGGCCCCACTTTCTAACAGCACACTCAGCTACAAACTCATCAGTGTATTAACCCACTGATGCACACAGTGCCCCTATCTTCCAGTCACCTTCCGAAAGCCCCACCTCTGAATGCATGAGGCTTTGGGGATATTCAAGATCTAAACCATAACATTTTCCCCAGCCCCCAAAAGACTCACACACATCCCTTTATTCAGAAGGTATTTAGTCCAACTCTTAAGAGTTGCCGAAGTTTTAACAGTTTCAGCATTGCTGAAAAGTCCGAGTCTAAAGTCTCCTCTGGGACTCAAGGCAAACTTTTTGTTGTGAGCCCCTGTGAAAAATCAAAAGAAAGTTAAACACTTCCAGCATACAATGACACAGGGTAAATATACCCATTCCAAAAAGAAAGAAATACGGGGATAAAAAGAACTGGGACCAAAGTACAACTGAATCCCAGTGGGGCAAACATTAAATCTTATAGTTCCATGTCCAGCACTTGGGACATGTTGTAGTAAGATATGAAGTCCAAAAGGTTTGCATATTCTTAGTTCTATGGCATTGCCAGTTGCAGCCTCATGGCTTCTCCTTCGGGTGACTTCGCTCACTGCCTGTTGCATTCCTAGTAGATGGTCCATGTTTGTGGTGTCTCCAACTTCCTAAGGTCTACATTGAACTTCTGGCTTCACCTCACAGCTTCACATACTGCCCTCTCAGGAATACACAGCTTGGCTTCCCAGGTTTCTTCTGAAATCTGAGTGGTTGCCTCCCTGACATCACAGCACTTGTATCCTGTATAACTGTAAAACCAGCACACCTATAAAAAGACCTGGATAATGCCAAGGCACACCAGTTCAAGCAGTGGCCAAGCTCTCTTGGACCCAGACTGCAGAGGTCTGTCTCTGAGTGCTTGGACAGCTGGGTACTATGAAATGAATCACAAGGAACTAGTTCCCTAGGCAGACCTTTTAAAGCAGGAGGCCCTGGGGCTCTCTTCTCAAAGTAAATTCTTTCACTTTTGCATTTTTGAGCCCACAGATTCCTGAAGTACTCTTAAGGAAACTTTTCTATTGTCCTGATGCAAAGCGCTTAGCTTCTTTTTAATGATAATCTTTTCAGCAACCATAATTAACAGTGCCCCAACTTGGCAGGCATTTTCTGTTGGTGAAACTGTGTACTTTTTAAATCATTGAACTCTTCCACTTACTCACTATAGATCTTGCTGTAAACATCAAACGGTACCCATGCTACAGCCTGAATATTGGTTTCCTTGAAAGTTTTTTCCACCATATTAATTACTCTGTCTCCCTTAATCTCTGCCTCTTGAAGTCTCAGGACATGATCAAAATGTAGGCAAATTTTCTACCACAGCATAGCACCCATGGCCTGGAATCCAGTTGCTAAAGGAATCCTTATTCCCAAGTTAACAGCTCCTGAGACTGGTCTTTATTGACTGTATTACTGTTATCATTCTTTCTTCTGAGCTCTGACCAGAATCTCCCATCAGTCTCTGCCTGAAACATTCTAGGATTCTAGGTGGCATCTCCAGACCTTTCTAAACTCCCGTGAACCAATTCCAAAAACTTCTGCACCACGCAGTAAGGTAATCACAACAGCCCTACTCCCAGTACCAAAATCTGTCTTAGTCACTTTCCTGTCACTGGGATACAATACCTAATACCTACAATTTAAAGGACGAGAGGTTTATCTTGGCTCAGAGTTTCAGAAATTTCATTGAATGGTTGGCAGGCTCAAAGGCCGAAACAGCATGGTGGAAGGGCCAACTTTGGAGGAAAGGTGCTTGTGTCGTGGGAGTCAGGAAGCAGAGAGTGAAGGGGGCGCTAAGGAAGGAGATACCCCCCTCCGGGTAATGTCCCCAGTGACCACCTCATCTGGCAAAGCCCCACCTCCCAACAGTACACTCATGAGCACAGTGCCCCACATCACCTCGAACACATGAGACTTTGGAGAAAGAGCGCAGATCTGAACCATAGCAGATCCCCTTTTCTCTGAACTCTGTGTCCATTGCAATCCTCTTGTCATTTAAAACTCATTTGTAATGCCCACAATCCCTGCTCTCTGGGAGACGAAAACAGGAAGATCCTAGGTTTGATTCCAGCCCCGGAAACTTAGAGACTTAGCAAGACACTGTCTCAAAATAAAAAATAAAAAAGCACTGAGAATGTGGCTCAGTGGTAGAGCACCCTTGGGTCAAACCTCAAGAAAAAAAAAACAACTTTATTTGTAGACAAGAAAAGGGATTCTTTGGGCTATTCCTTAAATTTTCTCTGAGCTAGGTCCTCTTTGTGCTGAGAACCAAAAGCTGTTCAGGCCAGCATCCTTGAGATCCCCTGAGTACCCTCAGCGGCTGTGAGAGTTTGGGTATAAGAATGGAGCCCAGCTGCACAGATTAGATGCCTGTCTATCACTCACATTATTCAATCTCATTTTAAATGCCTGACTTCCCATCAGTAAAATGAAGATAATAGTGTTTCCTTCACAGGGTGGGTGCTTCCAACATAATAAGTGTTCAATATGTTTTAATAATTATCCTAATATGAAATATCTTTGATAGGATCCTTTTCTTCAAAAAGAACTGAACAAGAAGCTAAGTTGACCTGTCAAAATTAAAACTTTCTTCTCTTGTCTGTTTTTCCTCTTTGTTTTTGTTCTGTTTTTGGAAACAAGGTCTCTCTTTGCAGTTCAAACTGGCCTAGAACTCACAGTGATCCTTCAACCTCAGCCTCCTGAGGGCTGCGATTACAGGTGTGTGCCACCATGGCTCCATCACCTTCTTTATCTGATATCCTGGATTTTTTTTTTAACCTTTTGTTTCTTTTCCGGTACTGGGGATCGAACTCAGGACCTTGTGCAGTGAGGCAGGAGCGGTGCCACTGAGCTAAACCTCTGGCCCCCTGGATTTTAAAGTCTGTGTCAAAATGATTTTACAACTTGATGGTGTCTCCAAGATGGACAGTTATCTTGGTAACTTGTCAATTTCTGTTTGTGTTGCAGGTATTATATGATGCTTCTGGGGTTCTTGAGAAAAACAGAGACACCCTCCCTGCTGATGTGGTTGTAGTCCTGAGAACGTCAGCTAACAAGCTTCTTCAACAACTCTTCTCAATCCCTTTAACCAAAACAGGTACCTGGGAACCCCCTGTCAGTCTTGTCTGTCTCCATTTAGGACCTAAATACTGCTGTGGCTGTGCTGCTAACATTGAACTTCCTTAAGTAGGGTTAAGCGTCTGTTTGAGTTCAGGAAAAGAAGAGTGACTTTCTTTTGTAATTTGACCCCACAGTAGAAATGTGTGTACTTTCCATAACCTTAACTCTTAGACTTGTGGTTTTCTTTGCCTGCCTCCTTTTTTTTTTCCACTTATAAATCTGTATGTTATTAATTCATGGTAAGCATTCTAGGGTAGTCTCAGTTTACCTAGAATTATTGGGAAGACGTTTCCACTCTTGTATGATTCCAAATGGAAAGTGTTGTAGACCAGTGGTCATCTGATCTCAGAGGTTGCCTGATCCAACTTCCTACTTAGTTGTCACCCCACCTCACCATGCTCCTAACCAAGCTGGGACATACCGGGCCTCACTTACTGACAGTCATCCTCTGTGTCGCTGCCCCATCAGCCCTCAGGCCAGGAGCTGGACCAGAGAATTTCCAGTCTTTGCTGTTTTGCCAAATGCGTTCTAATTGAGTGGAGATCCTCGGATTTACCTGGGCTTCTGCTGCTGTGGGAAGTCTTCTCACAGCTCTGCTCTCAAGGTTTTTGTGTCTGGAAACAGCTGTGGTTATGCTTTGTAAAAAGAGTGATAGAAATCTCTTTACTCTGATTTTCTTCTCACATTCCTCTTTGAACCATTGGTACTGTTCTAGCATTGGACAGACGTGTGCTAACAGAAAGTGACTGCCAGGTCTGATTTTCTTCTTTTTTTCCCCTAGTGAGGATTGAACCTAGGGCCTTCTTAACTGAGCTACATCCCTGAAATAATTTTTTCTTTGAGACAGGATCTTGCTAAATTGCCGAGACCGGTCTCAAACTTGTGATCCTTCTGCCTTATCCCCCCAGAATGCTACGATTACAGGTGTGTGCCACTATACCTGGCCCAAGTATGATTTTTAACAACATGCAGAGTAAATAAAACACTAAAGGAAGAAAAACAGGCTAGAACCTTTGCTTCATCTGTTCTCAGGAGGACGGTTGAAAGCAGGCTCTTAACTTCCTTCTGATATGCTCCTATAAACCAAGCGAGTAGTAGGAGGCCCGTCAGAAGGCTGCCGCCAGCTTCCTCTTCACATTCTCCTTGAGTACAGCAGGATTTAATTCATTATGTTCCCCCTCGGAGACCTGGGCAGGCGTGAGCAGGGCTGGCCCATGCTTGCCCACACTTTAGGGTACGGGCTCCTCCTCAGGCAACTTCTCTGTAGAGGCAAAGACACAGCCATAGTAAATAGGAGGTGTACTCTCTGAGTAAAATCTATCCAAATGACTCTTCAGCTGGCATTGACACTCTATAAATGAGAGTAATAACTTGTTCTCAACTGGATTTTCAATAGGGGAATAAAAACAATTTCAGGTCTGGGGCCACTAGGTGGTGCTATGCAGAAAGCAAGGGTGTGCTGCGAGTTCCAGCCCAGCTTGATTCGGCTCACAGCGGGGAGGAGGGGGAGCAAAGAGCCTCTGCTGACGCTTCTAATTTTTTATTTCCTTCCAAAGAGCTTGTAACTTTTTTCTGAATCTTATCTAGACATTGTACTCCAAGTGAAAAAAGACTAGAAACAAACATGATATCTGGACAAGCTGCTTCGTATCCTAAATTGTATGCATAATAATTTGAGATCCTAAAGTTGACTTTTTCCACATTTTGAGTATAATTAAGTTACACATAAACAATCAAACGTAGTAGTGCGATTATGTTTTATTCCTCCACTTAGGGCCTAAATACTGCCATGGCCTTGAACTCGCATCCTTTGGTCTTAGAATCCTGAGTGCTGGGATCATGGGTGTGCGCCACCACACTGCTCCCAGCACTTCCCTTACACAGTGCCCTGGATTTTAAAGCCTGGCTGTGTCAAGATGAATTTTGTGACTTGCTGTTGTCTCCAGGATGGACGATTACCTTGGTAACTTGTACTCAATTAACAGTGTAAAATGCACCCAATTAACAAACACTTAAGGAACAGTTTCTGGTGACAAGCCACTGTTTAAGCAACAAGGGGGCTGTAGAGGTAAAAAGACTGTGCCATTAAGCAACTTGAACCATTTTTGTGTGTGTGTGGTACTGGGAATTGAACCAGGGCCTGCACATGGAGCTACATCCCATTCATTTTTATTTGTATTTTCTTGAGGCAGAGTGTCACTAAGTCACTAAATTGCCCAGGCTGGGCTTGAACTCGTGATCTTCCTGCCTCAGCCTCCCAGAGTGCCAGGATTACAGATGTGTGCTACCACACCTAGGTCTAGATCTTTCTTTTAACTTTACTTTCTACTTAGAATTGAGAGTTATTTCTCTCCTAAATGTGATAATTGCCCCCAAACCTCAGTTTTAAAGTGATTATGCATCCTTTATTGAATGTTAATTAAGCTTTTAACTTTTAAAACATCCATATCTAAGTCAGGCATGGTGGCACACATCTATAATCCCAGCAGCACTTGGAGGCTGAGGCAGGTGGATCACAGCAAGTTCAAGGCCAGCCTGGGCTACACAGTGAGTTCAAGGTCAGCATGAACTGAATAGTGTGATTCTGTCACAAAAAACAAATAAAATATCCATATCTATATTTTTAATTATATTGTGAAGGTGGGAAGACCTCACTGCATCAAAGTAACTCATGCTGTTTTGACTGAAATATTTGTCTCAGGCAGATGTCTGCCCCTTAAGATGGGGAAAATGACTGTACCTTCCTGTGAGAAGCAGAGTCCCGCACATCCTGGTATTCTGGAAAGGAGTATGCTGACATGTTTTGTGCATGAAAATTTTTTTGTCATCATTTTTATTTTTGTTTGTTCTGCTTCAAGCCCTTAACTAATTGTTTGTTTAAATTAAATTGGGCTGGTCACGATGGTGCATGCCTGTAATCCCAGCTATTCAGAAGCCTAAGGCAGGAAGACTACAAGTTTGAGGCCAACCTGGGAAATCTAGTAAAACCCTATTCTAAAATAAAATTATGAAAATGGTGTGTGTGTGTGTGTGTGTGTGTGTGTGTGTCTCAGTGACAAAGCTCTTGCCTAGTGTGTGGGAGGTCTGGAGTTTGATCTCCAGTGCCACAGAACAGAAACAAAAAAGCAAATTGGATTAATTCAGTGAGCATAGATATTATGAGCAGTTACTTTACATACCCCACTGAGGGAGGAACTGTAGGGAGGACTGGAAAAGATCAAAGTTGGAAGGCACTGGGGACTGCAACCCTAAACTTAAAGAGTCCAGGGCCGGGGATTTAGCTCAGTGGCTCTGCTGCTTGCCTTGCAAGCGCAAGGTCCAAGTTTGATCCCTCGTACCAAAAAAAAAAAAAAAAAAAGAGTCCAGTGGTGAATCTCTGTACTGTCACTGTTGTTGTCATTAAATTCCAAAAATTTTTAAATTTCTTTGATTTCTTCTGTGATCCATTGGTTATTTAGGAGTACAGTGGTACCTGGGTTCACAAATGCTTTTTCCTGTGAACAGTTTTGTTCTAAAGCGGAGGTATTTGGCAGAATTTTGTTTTTGTCTCTGAACTTTGCATTGGGTGATGAAGATGACTGCAGCCATCTTTCCTGCATGAACACGAATATGGTCGTCTTTTCTAGAATCGTGGAACAAATTAAGGTCACGAACCCAGGTACAACCGTATATTGTTAATTTTCCAAGAGCTTTAGCCTCTTCTGAAGTTGATTGCACAGTGGTCTGATGGTATGCATGAGGTAGTTTCTTTCTTTCTTCTGTATTTATCTGGGCAGGCTTTGTGGGCTGGTGTATGGTCTGTTTGGGGGTGTACCATGTGCTGCTGGGAGGAGTGCATGTTCTTGTGGAGGGGTGAAATGCTCTGTGTATATCCACTGGGTCCATGGTTCAGGGGGTGTGGGTCACTGAAATTTCTTCAGTGGTTTTTTTTTTTTGTTGATCTGTCTCCTTATGAGAGTAGAGTATCAAAATCCCCTCCTGTGAAAAGATAAAGAAGGACCTTTGAGATACTAGTCTTTGTTTTCAGTGAGACTCATCAGAAAGCCTCAGGCTGATTTTCCTGTCCAGTTATCTTCATGTCTTGGCTCCTGGGCAGGTAGTACTCCTGTCACTTATAGGTAACAAAAGGAAGTATTAGGGCTTATTTTAATTTCTTATCAAGATTGTAAGGATCAACCGCTGTATATATGTATGGCTGTGTTAGCTTCCATTACTAGAACAAATACCAGAGATCAGCAGCTTCACAGATGAAGGTTTATTTTGGCTTACAGTTTTAGAGGTTTCAGTTGATGCTCAGGTGGCCCAGCTTCTCTGGGCCTCAGTGAGGCACACATCATGGTGGACCAAACCTTTAGAGACCAGACAATCATAGCAAGACTGTGTAGTGAAACAAAACTGCCCTCTTTTCTGAAAGAGAAAAAAAGAAAGAGACCACGGTTCCATTGTCCCCTTGAAGATCATGCCCCCAATGACCCTAAGACCTCCTGGTAGGCCCCACCTCCTAAAAGGGTCTGTCACCAAGCCTTTACATATGGGCCAGATCCAAACCATAGCAGTAACCATAACATTCGATCAGAAATAAATATCCATGTGGCATTTTTCTGTTTCCTGTTCCTACTTTCCTACTCATGTACATTTGAGAGCACCAGAGAGATTGAATGTGTGCAGTGAAATCATGGGCCTAGGGTGGCCAGGAGGATGGGCTCCTTCCTGGTTTCTGCAGCCCCCTCCCCTCCCTCCTCTCCCCTCATGAGGTGCTTCTTCCAGCACCAGCTGCATCTGGTAGAGGAGATGCCTCTACTTAAAAGATGCCCTCAGCCCAAGGCTTCAGTGAGGGATGATTGGATACATCAAGGCAGCCTTCAGTGTAGCTTCTCTCTCCCCGCCATGCTGACACATCTTCCCTTTTGCCTGCAGATGAGCACTTTCCGATGCAATGAATTTTTCTTTGTAACCTTTCCTATTGACTAGAAAGCT